TTGTCTTTTGCTCAGACTGCAACTCAGCTGTGTTTATGCCTTCGAGAAGAGAGTAACTCAGTTGCGTCTTTGTCTTGCTCAGACTGTAACTCAGCTGTGTTTATGCCTTCGAAAGAGAGTAAATCAGTTGCGTCTTTGTCTTTGCTCAGACTGCAACTCAGCTGTGTTTATGCCTTCGAGAAGAGAGTAAATCAGTTGCGTCTTTGTCTTTGCTCAGACTGCAACTCAGCTGTGTTTATGCCTTCGAGAAGAGAGTAAATCAGTTGCGTCTTTGTCTTTGCTCAGACTGCAACTCAGCTGTGTTTATGCCTTCGAGAAGAGAGTAAATCAGTTGCGTCTTTGTCTTTGCTCAGACTGTAACTCAGCTGTGTTTATGCCTTCGAGAAGAGAGTAAATCAGTTGCGTCTTTGTTTGCTCAGACTGCTCAGCTGTGTTTACCTAGAAGAGAGTAACTCAGCTGTTTTTGTTTATGCCAGACTTCAGCTGTGTTTATGAAGAAGAGAGTAACTCAGTTGCGTCTTTGTCTTTGCTCAGACTGCAACTCAGCTGTGTTTATGCCTTCGAGAAGAGAGTAAATCAGTTGCGTCTTTGTCTTTGCTCAGACTGCAACTCAGCTGTGTTTATGCCTTTGTCGAGAAGAGAGCTAAATCAGTTGCGTCTTTGTCTTTGCTCAGACTGCAACTCAGCTGTGTTTATGCCTTCGAGAAGAGAACTCAGTTGCGTCTTTGTCTTTGCTCAGACTGTAACTCAGCTGTGTTTATGCCTTCGAGAAGAGAGTAACTTCAGCTTGCAGACTTGACTGCAACTCAGCTGTGTTTATGCCTTCGAGAAGAGAGTAACTCAGTTGCGTCTTTGTCTTTGCTCAGACTGCAACTCAGCTGTGTTTATGCCTTCGAGAAGAGAGTAATCCAGTTGCGTCTTTGTCTTTGCTCAGACTGCAACTCAGCTGTGTTTATGCCTTCGAGAAGAGAGTAACTCAGTTGCGTCTTTGTCTTTGCTCAGACTGCAACTCAGCTGTGTTTATGCCTTCGAGAAGAGAGTAAATCAGTTGCGTCTTTGTCTTTGCTCAGACTGCAACTCAGCTGTGTTTATGCCTTCGAGAAGAGAGTAACTCAGTTGCGTCTTTGTCTTTGCTCAGACTGCAACTCAGCTGTGTTTATGCCTTCGAGAAGAGAGTAAATCAGTTGCGTCTTTGTCTTTGGCTCAGACTGCAACTCACTCAGCTTTGTGTTTATGCCTTCGAGAAGAGAGTTGTCTTTTGTCTTTGCTCAGACTGCAACTCAGCTGTGTTTATGCCTTCGAGAAGAGAGTAAATTTTCTTTGCTCAGACCCGCAAATGCGTCTTTATGTGCCTTTTGCTCAGACTGCAACTCAGCTGTGTTTTTATGCCTTCGAGAAGAGTAAATCAGTTGCGTCTTTGTCTTTGCTCAGACTGTAACTCAGCTGTTTTATGCCTTCGAGAAGAAGTAAATCAGTTGCGTCTTTGTCTTTTGCTCAGACTGTAACTCAGCTGTGTTTATGCCTTCGAGAAGAAACTCAGTTGCGTCTTTGTCTTTTGCTCAGACTGCAACTCAGCTGTGTTTATGCCTTCGAGAAGAGAGTAACTCAGTTGCGTCTTTGTCTTTGCTCAGACTGCAACTCAGCTGTGTTTATGCCTTCGAGAAGAGAATAAATCAGTTGCGTCTTTGTCTTTGCTCAGACTGCAACTCAGCTGTGTTTATGCCTTCGAGAAGAGAGTAAATCAGTTGCGTCTTTGTCTTTGCTCAGACTGTAACTCAACTGTGTTTATGCCTTCGAGAAGAGAGTAAATCAGTTGCGTCTTTGTCTTTGCTCAGACTGTAACTCAGCTGTGTTTATGCCTTCGAGAAGAGAGAGTAAATCAGTTGCGTCTTTGTCTTTGCTCAGACTGCAACTCAGCTGTGTTTATGCCTTCGAGAAGAGAGAATCAGTTGCGTCTTTGTCTTTGCTCAGAAATGCAACTCAGCTGTTTATGCCTTTGTCTTTGCTCAGTCTTTGCAACTCCAGCTGTGTTTATGCCTTCGAGAAGAGAGTAAATCAGTTGCGTCTTTGTCTTTGCTCAGACTGCAACTCAGCTGTGTTTATGCCTTCGAGAAGAGAGTAAATCAGTTGCGTCTTTGTCTTTGCTCAGACTGCAACTCAGCTGTGTTTATGCCTTCGAGAAGAGAGTAACTCAGTTGCGTCTTTGTCTTTGCTCAGACTGCAACTCAGCTGTGTTTATGCCTTCGAGAAGAGAGTAAATCAGTTGCGTCTTTGTCTTTGCTCAGACTGCAACTCAGCTGTGTTATGCCTTCGAGAAGAGAGTCAGTTGCGTCTTTGTCTTTGCTCAGACTGCAAACTCAGCTGTGTTTATGCCTTCGAGAAAAAACTCAGTTGCGTCTTTGTCTTTGCTCAGACTATAACTCAATGCCTTCGAGAAGATGTAAATCAGTTTCTTTGTTTTTCAGACTGAACTCAGCTGTGTTTATGCCTTCGAGAAGAGAGTAAATCAGTTGCGTCTTTGTCTTTGCTCAGACTGCAACTCAGCTGTGTTTATGCCTTCGAGAAGAGAGTAAATCAGTTGCGTCTTTGTCTTTGCTCAGACTGCAACTCAGCTGTGTTTATGCCTTCGAGAAGAGAGTAAATCAGTTGCGTCTTTGTCTTTTGCCTCAGACTGCAACTCAGCTGTGTTTATGCCTTCGAGAAGAGAGTAACTCAGTTGCGTCTTTGTCTTTGCTCAGACCAACTCAGCTGTGTTTATGCCTTCGAGAAGAGCTCAGTTGCGTCTTTGTCTTTTGCTCAGACTGTAACTCAGCTGTGTTTATGCCTTCGAGAAGAGAGTAAATCAGTTGCGTCTTTGTCTTTGCTCAGACTGCTCAGCTGTGTTTATGCCTTCGAGAAGAGAGTAAATCAGTTGTCTTTGTCTTTGCTCAGACTGCAACTCAGCTGTGTTTATGCCTTCGAGAAGAGAGTAAATCAGTTGCGTCTTTGTCTTTGCTCAGACTGCAACTCAGCTGTGTTTATGCCTTCGAGAAGAGAGTAACTCAGTTGCGTCTTTGTCTTTGCTCAGACTGCAACTCAGCTGTGTTTATGCCTTCGAGAAGAGAGTAAATCAGTTGCGTCTTTGTCTTTGCTCAGACTGTAACTCAGCTGTGTTTATGCCTTCGAGAAAGAGAGTAAATCAGTTGCGTCTTTTGTCTTTTGCTCAGACTGTAACTCAGCTGTGTTTATGCCTTCGAGAAGAGAGTAAATCAGTTGCGTGTTTATGCCTTCGTCTTTGCGTCTTTGACTTTGCTCAGACTGCAACTCAGCTGTGTTTATGCCTTCGAGAAGAGAGTAAATCAGTTGCGTTGTCTTTGCTCAGACTGCAACTCAGCTGTGTTTATGCCTTCGTGAAAGAGGTAAATCAGTTGCGTCTTTTGTCTTTGCTCAGACTGCAACTCAGCTGTGTTTAGCTTCGAGAAGAGAGTAAATCAGTTGCGTCTTTGTCTTTTGCTCAGACTGTAACTCAGCTTGTTTATGCCTTCGAGAAGAAAGTTGCTCAGACTGCAACTCAGCTGTGTTTATGCCTTCGAGAAGAGAGTAAATCAGTTGCGTCTTTGTCTTTGCTCAGACTGCAACTCAGCTGTGTTTATGCCTTCGAGAAGAGAGTAAATCAGTTGCGTCTTTGTCTTTGCTCAGACTGCAACTCAGCTGTGTTTATGCCTTCGAGAAGAGAGTAAATCAGTTGCGTCTTTGTCTTTGCTCAGACTGCAACTCAGCTGTGTTTATGCCTTCGAGAAGAGAGTAACTCAGTTGCGTCTTTGTCTTTGCTCAGACTGCAACTCAGCTGTGTTTATGCCTTTGTCTTTGAGAAGAGAGCTGTGTTTAATTCAGTTGCGTTTTGTCTTTGCTCAGACTGCAACTCAGCTGTGTTTATGCCTTGAGAAGAGAGTAAATCAGTTGCGTCTTTGTCTTTGCTCAGACTGTAACTCAGCTGTGTTTATGCCTTCTGAGAAGAGAGTAAATCAGTTGCGTCTTTGTCTTTGCTCAGACTGCAACTCAGCTGTGTTTATGCCTTCGAGAAGAGAGTAACTCAGTTGCGTCTTTGTCTTTGCTCAGACTGTAACTCAGCTGTGTTTATGCCTTCGAAGAGAGAAACTCAGTTGCGTCTTTGTCTTTGCTCAGACTGCAACTCAGCTGTGTTTATGCCTTCGAGAAGAGAGTAACTCAGTTGCGTCTTTGTCTTTGCTCAGACTGCAACTCAGCTGTGTTTATGCCTTCGAGAAGAGAGTAATCAGTTGCGTCTTTGTCTTTGCTCAGACTGCAACTCAGCTGTGTTTATGCCTTCGAGAAGAGAGTAAATCAGTTGCGTCTTTGTCTTTTGCTCAGACTAACTCAGCTGTGTTTTATGCCTTCGAGAAGAGAGTAAATTTGTCTTTGTCTTTGCTCAGACTGCAACTCAGCTGTGTTTATGCCTTCGAGAAGAGAGTAAATCAGTTGCGTCTTTGTCTTTGCTCAGACTGCAACTCAGCTGTGTTTATGCCTTCGAGAAGAAAAGTAACCCGTAACTCAGCGTCTTTGTCTTTGCTCAGACTGTAACTCAGCTGTGTTTATGCCTTCGAGAAGAGAGTAAATCAGTTGCGTCTTTGTCTTTGCTCAGACTGCAACTCAGCTGTGTTTATGCCTTCGAGAAGAGAGTAAATCAGTTGCGTCTTTGTCTTTGCTCAGACTGCAACTCAGCTGTGTTTATGCCTTCGAGAAGAGAGAACTCAGTTGCGTCTTTGTTTTTGCTCAGACTGCAACTCAGCTGTGTTTATGCCTTCGAGAAGAGAGTAAATCAGTTGCGTCTTTGTCTTTGCTCAGACTGTAACTCAGCTGTGTTTATGCCTTCGAGAAGAGAGCCTAACTCAGTTGCGTCTTTGTCTTTGCTCAGACTGTAACTCAGCTGTGTTTATGCCTTCGAGAAGAGAGTAACTCAGTTGCGTCTTTGTCTTTGCTCAGACTGCAACTCAGCTGTGTTTATGCCTTCGAGAAGAGAAATCAGTTGCGTCTTTGTCTTTGCTCAGACTGCAACTCAGCTGTGTTTATGCCTTCGAGAAGAAACTCAGTTGCGTCTTTGTCTTTGCTCAGACTGTAACTCAGCTGTGTTTATGCCTTCGAGAAAGAAACTCAGTTGCGTCTTTGTCTTTGCTCAGACTGCAACTCAGCTGTGTTTATGCCTTCGAGAAGAGAGTAAATCAGTTGCGTCTTTTGTCTTTGCTCAGACTGCAACTCAGCTGTTTGCAACTTATGCCTTCGAGAAACTCAGTAAATTTGTCTTTGCTCAGACTGCAACTCAGCTGTGTTTATGCCTTCGAAGAGAGTTCAGTTGCGTCTTTGTCTTTTTGCAGACTGCAACTCAGCTGTGTTTATGCCTTCGAGAAGAAGAGAGTAAATCAGTTGCGTCTTTGTCTTTGCTCAGACTGCAACTCAGCTGTGTTTATGCCTTCGAGAAGAGAGTAACTCAGTTGCGTCTTTGTCTTTGCTCAGACTGCAACTCAGCTGTGTTTATGCCTTCGAGAAGAGAGCAGTAAATCAGTTGCGTCTTTGTCTTTGCTCAGACTGTAACTCAGCTGTGTTTATGCCTTCGAGAAGAGAGTAAATCAGTTGCGTCTTTGTCTTTGCTCAGACTGCAACTCAGCTGTGTTTATGCCTTCGAGAAGAGAGTAACTCAGTTGCGTCTTTGTCTTTGCTCAGACTGCAACTCAGCTGTGTTTATGCCTTCGAGAAGAGAGTAAATTTGTTTTGCGTCTTTGTCTTTGCTCAGACTGTAACTCAGCTGTGTTTATGCCTTCGAGAAGAGAGTAAATCAGTTGCGTCTTTGTCTTTGTCTTTGCCTTCAGACTGCAACTCAGCTGTGTTTATGCCTTCGAGAAGAGAGTAACTCAGTTGCGTCTTTGTCTTTGCTCAGACTGCAACTCAGCTGTGTTTATGCCTTCGAAGAAGAAAACTCAGTTGCGTCTTTGTCTTTGCTCAGACTGCAAACTCAGCTGTGTTTATGCCTTTGTCTTCTCAGAGAAGAGAGTAACTCAGTTGCGTCTTTGTCTTTGCTCAGACTGCAACTCAGCTGTGTTTATGCCTTCGAGAAAGAGAGTAAATCAGTTGCGTCTTTGTCTTTGCTCAGACTGCAACTCAGCTGTGTTTATGCCTTCGAGAAGAGAGTAAATCAGTTGCGTCTTTGTCTTTGCTCAGACTGCAACTCAGCTGTGTTTTATGCCTTCGAGAAGAGAGCTGTGTTTATGCCTTCGAACTCAAATCAGTTGCGTCTTTGTCTTTGCTCAGACCGCAACTCAGCTGTGTTTATGCCTTCGAGAAGAGAGTAAATCAGTTGCGTCTTTGTCTTTGCTCAGACTGCAACTCAGCTGTGTTTATGCCTTCGAAGAGAGTAACTCAGTTGCGTCTTTGTCTTTGCTCAGACTGCAACTCAGCTGTGTTTATGCCTTCGAGAAGAGAGTGTGCGTTTTGTGCCTTCAGACTGAAGAGCTGTGCTTATGCCTTCGAGAAGAGAGTAACTCAGTTGCGTCTTTGTCTTTGCTCAGACTGCAACTCAGCTGTGTTTATGCCTTCGAGAAGAGAGTAAGTTGCGTCTTTGTCTTGCTCAGACTGCACTCAGTTGCCTTCGTCTTTGCGTCTTTTGTCTTTGCTCGACTGCAACTCAGCTGTGTTTATGCCTTCGAGAAGAAGAAATCAGTTGCGTCTTTGTCTTTGCTCAGACTGCAACTCAGCTGTGTTTATGCCTTCGAGAAGAGAGTAAATCAGTTGCGTCTTTGTCTTTGCTCAGACTGTAACTCAGCTGTGTTTATGCCTTCGAGAAGAGAGTAAATCAGTTGCGTCTTTGTCTTTGCTCAGACTGCAAACTCAGCTGTGTTTATGCCTTCGAGAAGAGAGTAAATCAGTTGCGTCTTTGTCTTTGCTCAGACTGCAACTGTAACTCAGAAGAGAGTAACTCAGTTGTTTTATGCCTTCGAGAATGCCTTCGAGTAAATCAGTTGCGTCTTTGTCTTTGCTCAGACTGCAACTCAGCTGTGTTTTATGCCTTCGAGAAGAGAGTAAATCAGTTGCGTCTTTGTCTTTGCTCAGACTATAACTCAGCTGTGTTTATGCCTTCGAGAAAGAGAGTAATCAGTTGCGTCTTTTGTCTTTGCTCAGACTGCAACTCAGCTGTGTTTATGCCTTCGAGAAGAGAGTAACTCAGTTGCGTCTTTGTCTTTGCTCAGACTGCAACTCAGCTGTGTTTATGCCTTCGAGAAGAGAGTAAATCAGTTGTCTTTGTCTTTGCTCAGACTGCAACTCAGCTGTGTTTATGCCTTCTTCAGTTTGCGTCTTTGTCTTTGCTCAGACTGCAACTCAGCTGTGTTTATGCCTTCGAGAAGAGAGTAAATCAGTTGCGTCTTTGTCTTTGCTCAGACTGCAACTCAGCTGTGTTTATGCCTTCGAGAAGAACTCAGTTTAACGTCTTTGTCTTTGCTCAGACTGCAACTCAGCTGTGTTTATGCCTTCGAGAAGAAGTTCAGTTGTCTTTGTTTTGCTCAGACTGTAACTCAGCTGTGTTTATGCCTTCGAGAAGAGAGTAAATCAGTTGCGTCTTTGTCTTTGCTCAGACTGCAACTCAGCTGTGTTTATGCCTTCGAGAAGAGAGTAACTTCAGTTGCGTCTTTGTCTTTGCTCAGACTGCAACTCAGCTGTGTTTATGCCTTCGAGAAGAGAGTAAATCAGTTGCGTCTTTGTCTTCAGACTGCAACTCAGCTGTGTTTATGCCTTCGAGACTCAGTTGCGTCTTTGTCTTTGCTCAGACTGCAACTGTGTTTTATGCCTTCGAGAAGAGAAACTCAGTTGCGTCTTTGCTGTCTTTGCTCAGACTCCAGATGCTCAGCTGCTGTGTTTATGCCTTCGAGAAGAGAGTAACTCAGTTGCGTCTTTGTCTTTGCTCAGACTGCAACTCAGCTGTGTTTATGCCTTCGAGAAGAGAGTAAATCAGTTGCGTCTTTGTCTTTGCTCAGACTGTAACTCAGCTGTGTTTATGCCTTCGAAGAAGAGAGTAACTCAGTTGCGTCTTTGTCTTTGCTCAGACTGTAACTCAGCTGTGTTTATGCCTTCGAGAAGAGAGAAACTCAGTTGCGTCTTTGTCTTTGCTCAGACTGCAACTCAGCTGTGTTTATGCCTTCGAGAAGAGAGTAAATCAGTTGCGTCTTTGTCTTTGCTCAGACTGCAACTCAGCTGTGTTTATGCCTTCGAGAAGAGAACTCAGTAACTCAGACTGCAACTCTTTTATGTCTTTCGCTCAGACTGCAACTCAGCTGTGTTTATGCCTTCGAGAAGAGAGTAACTCAGTTGCGTCTTTGTCTTTGCTCAGACTGTAACTCAGCTGTGTTTATGCCTTCGAGAGAAGAGAGTCAGACTATAACTCAGTGTGTTTATGCCTTCGTCTTTGTCTTTGCTCAGACTGCAACTCAGCTGTGTTTATGCCTTCGAGAAGAGAGTAACTCAGTTGCGTCTTTGTCTTTGCTCAGACTGCAACTCAGCTGTGTTTATGCCTTCGAGAAGAGAGTAAATCAGTTGCGTCTTTGTCTTTGCTCAGACTATAACTCAGCTGTGTTTATGCCTTCGAGAAGAGATCAGTAACTCAGTTGCGTCTTTGTCTTTGCTCAGACTGCAACTCAGCTGTGTTTATGCCTTCGAGAAGAGAGTAACTCAGTTGTCTTTGTCTTTGCTCAGACTGCAACTCTCAGCTGTGTTTATGCCTTCGAAGAAGAGTAACTGCAACTCAGCTGTGTTTATGCTTTAAATCAGTCTTTTGCTCAGACTATAACTCAGCTGTGTTTATGCCTTCGAGAAGAGAGTAACTCAGTTGCGTCTTTGTCTTTGCTCAGACTGCAACTCAGCTGTGTTTATGCCTTCGAGAAGAGAGTAAATCAGTTGCGTCTTTGTCTTTGCTCAGACTGCAACTCAGCTGTGTTTATGCCTTCGAGAAGAGAAAATCAGTTGCGTCTTTGTTTTGCTCAGACTGCAACTCAGCTGTGTTTATGCCTTCGAGAAGAGCAACGTCTTTGTCTTTGCTCAGACTGCAACTCAATATGTTTTATGCCTTCGAGAAGAAGAGTAAATCAGTTGCGTCTTTGTCTTTGCTCCAGACTGCAACTCAGCTGTGTTTATGCCTTCGAGAAGAGAGTAACTCAGTTGCGTCTTTGTCTTTGCTCAGACTGCAACTCAGCTGTGTTTTCGATAAATCAGCCTTTGTCTTTAGACTATAACTCAGCTGTGTTTATGCCTTCGAGAAGAGAGTAACTCAGTTGCGTCTTTGTCTTTGCTCAGACTGCAACTCAGCTGTGTTTATGCCTTCGAGAAGAGAGTAACTCAGTTGCGTCTTTGTCTTTGCTCAGACTGCAACTCAGCTGTGTTTATGCCTTCGAGAAGAGAGTAACTCAGTTGCGTCTTTGTCTTTGCTCAGACTGCAACTCAGCTGTGTTTATGCCTTCGAGAAGAGAGTAACTCAGTTGCGTCTTTGTCTTTGCTCAGACTGCAACTCAGCTGTGTTTATGCCTTCGAGAAGAGAGTAAATCAGTTGCGTCTTTGTCTTTGCTCAGACTGCAACTCAGCTGTGTTTATGCCTTCGAGAAGAGAGTAAATCAGTTGCGTCTTTGTCTTTGCTCAGACTGCAACTCAGCTGTGTTTATGCCTTCGAGAAGAGAGTAAATCAGTTGCGTCTTTGTCTTTGCTCAGACTGTAACTCAGCTGTGTTTATGCCTTCGAGAAGAGAGTAAATCAGTTGCGTCTTTGTCTTGCTCAGACTGCAACTCAGCTGTGTTTATGCCTTCGAGAAGAGAGTAAATCAGTTGCGTCTTTTTGTCTTTGCTCAGACTGCAACTCAGCTGTGTTTTATGCCTTCGAGAAGAGAGAGTAACCAGTTGCGTCTTTGTCTTTGCTCAGACTGCAACTCAGCTGTGATTATGCCTTCGAGAAGATAGTAACTCAGTTGCGTCTTTGTCTTTGCTCAGACTGCAACTCAGCTGTGTTTATGCCTTCGAGAAGAGAGTAAATCAGTTGCGTCTTTGTCTTTGCTCAGACTGCAACTCAGCTGTGTTTATGCCTTCGAGAAGAAAAATCAGTTGCGTCTTTGTCTTTGCTCAGACTGCAACTCAGCTGTGTTTATGCCTTCGAGAAGAGAGTAACTCAGTTGCGTCTTTTTCTTTGCTCAGACTGCAACTCAGCTGTCCTTTGTCTTTGCTTTTGCTCAGACTGCAACTCAGCTGTGTTTCGAGAAGAGAAAAATCAGTCGTCTTTGTCTTTTGCTCAGACTGCAACTCAGCTGTGTTTATGCCTTCGAGAAGATAGTGCAACCCCAACTCAGCTGTGTTTATGCCTTCGAAGAGAGTCAGTTTGTTTGTCTTTGCTCAGACTGCAACTCAGCTGTGTTTATGCCTTCGAGAAGAGAGTAAATCAGTTGCGTCTTTGTCTTTGCTCAGACTGCAACTCAGCTGTGTTTATGCCTTCGAGAAGAGAGTAACTCAGTTGCGTCTTTGTCTTTGCTCAGACTGCAACTCAGCTGTGTTTATGCCTTCGAGAAGAGAGTAACTCAGTTGCGTCTTTGTCTTTTTCTTTGCTCAGACAGTGCAACTCAGCTGTGTTTTTATGCCTTCGAGAAGAGAGAGTAATCAGTTGCGTCTTTGTCTTTGCTCAGACTGCAACTCAGCTGTTTATGCCTTCGAGAAGAGAGTAACTCCGTCTTTGTCTTTGCTCAGACTGCAACTCAGCTGTGTTTATGCCTTCGAGAAGAAATAAGTTGCGTCTTTGTCTTTGCTCAGACTGCAACTCAGCTGTGTTTATGCCTTCGAGAAGAGAGTAAATCAGTTTTGTCTTTGTCTTTGTCTTTGCTCAGACTGTAACTCAGCTCAGCTGTTTATGCCTTCGAGAAGAGAGTAACCAGTGTCTTTTCTTGCTCAGACTGTAACTCAGCTGTGTTTATGCCTTCGAGAAGAGAGTAAATCAGTTGCGTCTTTTGTCTTTTAAGCCAGACTGTAACTCAGCTGTGTTTATGCCTTCGAGAAAGAGAGTAAATCAGTTGCGTCTTTGTCTTTGCTCAGACTGCAACTCAGCTGTGTTTATGCCTTCGAGAAGAGAGTAAATCAGTTGCGTCTTTCTTTTTGCTCAGACTGCAACTCAGCTGTGTTTATGCCTTGGAGAAGAGAATAAATCAGTTGCGTCTTTGTCTTTGCTCAGACTGCAACTCAGCTGTGTTTATGCCTTCGAGAAGAGAGTAACTCAGTGGCGTCTTGTCTTTTACTCTTTTGTCTTTATGCTCAGACTGCAACTGCAGCTGTGTTTTATGCCTTCGAGAAGAGAGTAACTCAGTTGCGTCTTTTGACTCTTTTTATGCCTTCAAGACGTCTTTGTCTTGCTCACTGCAACTCAGCTGTGTTTATGCCTTCGAGAAGAGAGTAACTCAGTTGCGTCTTTGTCTTTGCTCAGACTGCAACTCAGCTGTGTTTATGCCTTTTGTCGAGAAGAGAGTAAATCAGTTGCGTCTTTGTCTTTGCTCTCAGACTGCAACTCAGCTGTTGCTTATGCCTTCGAGAAGAGAGTAATCAGTTGCGTCTTTTGTCTTGCTTGCTCAGACTGCAACTCAGCTGTGTTTTATGCCTTCGAGAAGAGAGTAAATCAGTTGCGTCTTTGTCTTTGCTCAGACTGCAACTCAGCTGTGTTTATGCCTTTCGAGAAGAGAGTAAATCAGTTGATCAGTTTTGCGTGCAACTCAGCTGTGTTTGCTTCGAGAAGAGAGTAAATCAGTTGCTCTTTGTCTTTGCTCAGACTGCAACTCAGCTTTTATGCCTTCGAGAAAGAGAGTAAATCAGTTGCGTCTTTGTTTTGCTCAGACTGCAACTCAGCTGTGTTTATGCCTTCAGAAGAGAGTAAATCAGTTGCGTCTTTGTCTTTGCTCAGACTGCAACTCAGCTGTGTTTATGCCTTCGAAGAGAGTAACTCAGTTGCGTCTTTTGTCTTTGCTCAGACTGCAACTCAGCTGTGTTTATGCCTTCGAGAAGAGAGTAACTCAGTTGCGTCTTTGTCTTTGCTCAGACTTTGACAACTCAGCTGTGTTTATGCCTTCGAGAAGAGAGTAACTCAGTTGCGTCTTTGTCTTTGCTCAGACTGCAACTCAGCTGTGTTTATGCTTCGAGAAGAGAGTAAATCAGTTGCGTCTTTGTCTTTGCTCAGACTGCAACTCAGCTGTTTTGTCTTGCCTTCGAGAAGAGAGTTATGCTCAGAAGAGAAACTTTTGTTTTTTGCTCAGACTGCAACTCAGCTGTGTTTATGCCTTCGAGGAAGAGAGTAACTCCATTGCGTCTTTGTCTTTGCTCAGACTGTAACTCAGCTGTGTTTATGCCTTCGAGAAGAGAGTAACCACCAGTTGCGTGTCTTTGTCTTTGCTCAGACTATAACTCAGCTGTGTTTATGCCTTCGAGAAGAAAAGAGTAAATCAGTTGCGTCTTTGTCTTTGCTCAGACTGTAACTCAGCTGTGTTTATGCCTCGAGAAGAGAGTAAATCATTGCGTCTTTGTCTTTTGTCTTTGTGTTTATGCCTTTTGTGCTTTTTGTCTTTTGCGAGAAGAGATGACTTCAGAACCGTAACTTGCATTTGTCTTTAATTGCTTTTTTTGTCTTTGCTCAGACTGCAACTCAGCTGTGTTTAGAAGAGAGAACTGCCTTTTCTCAAAGAGAGTTGCGTCTTTGTCTTTGCTCAGACTGCTCAACTCATGCCTTCGAGAAGAAAGATTTATGCCTTCGAGAAGAGTCCTTTAAGCCTTCTGTCAATCAGGTTCCGTCTTTGTCTTTTGCTCAGACTGCAAAGCTGTGTTTATGCTGAGAGTAACCTATTGCGTCTTTGTCTTTGTCTTTCGAGAAGAGAGTTCTGTTGCGTCTTTTGTCTTTGCTCAGACTGTAAATCAGCTGTGTTTATGCCTTCGAGAAGAGTAAATCAGTTGCGTCTTTTGTCTTTGCTCAGACTGCAACTCAGCTGTGTTTATGCCTTCGAGAAGAGAGTAAATCAGTTGCGTCTTTGTCTTTGCCATCTTGCAACTCAGCTGTGTTTATGCCTTCGAGAAGAGAGAGTATCAGTTGCGTCTTTGTCTTTCAGATTGTTCTTTGCGCTCTGACTTCAACTTTGTTTGTCTTTGCTCCAGACCTTCAACTCAGCTGTGTTTATGCCTTCGAGAAGAGAGTAACTCAATTGCGTCTTTGTCTTTGCTCAGACTGCAACTCAGCTGTGTTTATGCCTTCGAGAAGAGAGTAAATCAGTTGCGTCTTTGTCTTTGCTCAGACTGCAACACAGCTGTGTTTATGCCTTCGAGAAGAGAGTAAATCAGTTGCGTCTTTTCTCTTTGCTCAGACTGCAACTCAACTGTGTTTATGATGTCCTTCGTCTCTAACTCAGTTGCGTCTTTGTCTTTGCTCAGACTGCAACTCAGCTGTGTTTATGCCTTCGAGAAGAGAGTAACTCAGTTGCGTCTTTTGTCTTTGCTCAGACTGCAACTCAGCTGTGTTTATGCCTTCGAGAAGAGAGTAACTCAGTTTGCGTCTTTGTCTTTGCTCAGACTGCAAACTCAGCTGTGTTTATGCCTTCGAGAAATAGTAAATCAGTTGCGTCTTTGTCTTTGCTCAGACTGCAACTCAGCTGTGTTTATGCCTTCGAGAAGAGAGTAACTCAGTGGCGTCTTTGTCTTTGCTCAGACTCCAACTCAGCTGTGTTTATGCCTTCGAGAAGAGAGACCCAATCAGTTGCGTCTTTGTCTTTAAACTCAGTGGCTCTTTGTCTTGCTCAGACTATATCTGTTTTGCCTTCGAGAAGATAGTAACTCAGTTGCGTCTTTGTCTTTGCTCAGACTGCAACTCCAGCTGTGTTTATGCCTTCGAGAAGACAAAAATCAGTTGCGTCTTTGTCTTTGCTCAGACTGCAACTCAGCTGTGTTTATGCCTTCGAAGAAACCTAGAGAGTCTTTTTTGCTCAGACTGTAGCTGTGTTTACGCGTCTTTGTCTTTGTCTCAGACTGCAACTCAGCTGTGTTTATGCCTTCGTGAATAATCTCAATTCGAGTCTTTGCTCAGAGTCAGCTGTTTATACTCAGTCAATGCGTCTTTGTCTTTATCTCAGACTGCAAACCAGCTGTGTTTATGCCTTCGAGAAGAAAATCAGTTGCGTCTTTGTCTTTGCTTTTTATGTAACTCAAACAAGCCTCCAATTTCTTTTATCAGCTTTTATGCCTTCGAGAAGAGAGTAACCAATTTGCGTCTTGTCTTTTTCTCAGACCGCAACTCAGCTGTGTTTATGCCTTCGAGAAGAGAGAGTAAATCTTGCGTCTTTGTCAGACCTCATTGTTTTTGTCTCTCAGACCGCAACCCAGCTGCTTTATTGTCAATTTGCGTCTTTGTCTTTGCTCAGACTGCAACTCAGCTGTGTTTATGCCTTCGAGAATAGTAACTCAGTTGCGTCTTTTCTTTTGCTCTGCAACCCATCTGTGATTATGCCAAACGAGAATGATCTAAATTTTACGTCTTTGTCTTTACTCAGACTCAACTCAGCTTTTTACGCTCGAGAAGAGAGCAAATCGGTTGCGTTTTGTCTTTCTCAACTGCAACTCAGCTGTGTTTATGCCTTCGAGAAAGATTTCAGTTGCGTCTTTGTCTTTGCTCAGACTGACAACTCAGCTGTGTTTATGCCTTCGAGAAGGATTTTGCGTCTTTGTCTTTGCTTTTGTTTTTGCCTTCTGTATTAAGACAAACCCTTATGATGCTGTCATCTATTCTCTCTTCTTTTTGTCTTGTTTGTGTTAATGACAAGCCCTTTATCTTCTGTCAGACTGTTCTCTCTTCTTTTGTTTTGCCTCTGTGTGTGACAAACAGTTGCGTCTTTGTTCTGCAACTCTTCTTTGTTTTTGCTCTGTATTATGACAAACCTTTATGATTCTGTCAACCGCAACTCCTATTCTTCTCTTCGTTTTGTCTTTGCTCTGTGTGCATGACAAAAGCTGTTTTATTCTGTCCAGCCTATTCTCTCTTCATTTGTTTTGCTTTGTCTTTTGACTCGGCCTATATGATCTGTCCATTTTATTCTTCTGAAAGAAACTTCATTTGTCTTGCTCTGTTTATTAATTTTCCCTCAATTCTGTCCATTTTCACTTTTTCATTTGTCTTTGTCTTTTAAACCTGTAGGATTCTGTCAGCTGTTCTATACTCTTCTTTTTGTTTTGCTCTGTATTTTGACAAACCTGCTGTCTTTCTGTTCAGCCTTTCTCTCTTCTTTTGTCTTGCTCTGTGTTATGACAAACCTATATGTTTCCAGCCTATTCTCTCTTTTTGTCTTGCTCTGTATACCCACAAACCTATTTGATTTTTGTTCAGCCTGTTCTCCCTTCATTTGTCTTGCTCTGTATTATGACAAACCTACTTGATTTTGTCCAGCCTATTCTCTCTTCTTTTGTTTTCTCTCTGTATTATGACAAACCTATATGATTCTGATTTTTGTCTTCATTATTGCTGTATTCAGCCTCTGTTCTTTTGTCTTGCTCTGTATTGTAACAAACCTATATGACAAACTGTCTGTCCAGCCTATTCTCTCTTCTTTTGTTTTGTCTTGCTCTGTCTTTGCTCTATGACAAACCTATGTTTTTCTGTCCACTGTGCCTATTCTCTTTCTTTTGTCTTGCTCTGTATTAAAGATTCTCTCTTGCGTCTTTGACAAACCTATATGATTCTGTCCAGCCTATTCTCTCTTCTTTTTTGTCTTGCTCTGTGTTATGACAAACCTTTATGCAGCCTTCGTCCAGTTGTCTTTCTGTCCAGCCTATTTGTCTTCTTTTTGTTTTATTTGCTATGCCTTCGTTTATGACAAACCTACATAATTCTGTCTTGATTCTTTCAGCCTATTCTCTCTTCTTTTGTCTTGCTCTGTGTTATGACAAACCTATATATGATGCTGTCAGCCTATTCTCTTCTTCTTTTGTCTTTTCCTCTGTATTCTTTTTGTCTTCAAACCTTTATGATTCTGTCAGAAAAACCTATTCTCTCTTCTTTTGTTTTTGCTCTCTATTATGAACAAACCTATATTTTGATGCTGTCTTTGCTCTGTATTCCTATTCTCTCTTTTTTGTCTTGCTCTGTATTATGACAAACCTGTATGATGCTGTCAGCCTATTCTCTCTTCTTTTGTCTTGCTCTGTGTTATGACAAATCTTTCTGTCCAGCCTATTCTCTCTTCTTTTGTCTTTCTGTGTGCCATGACAAACCTATTGATTCTGTTCAGCCTATTCTCTTTCTTTTGTCTTGCTCTGTTTATACAAACCTTATGACAAACCTATATGATTCTGTCCAGCCTATTCTCTCTTCTTTTGTCTTGCTCTGTATTATGACAAACCTTCATATGATTCTGTTTTTTCAGCCTATTCTCTCTTCTTTTGTCTTGCTCTGTATTATGACAACAAACCTATTCTGATTCTGTCCCTGTCTATTCTCTCTTCTTTTGTCTTTCTGCTCTGTATTCTCCTTCTTTTGACAAACTCATATGATTCTGTCCAGCCTATTCTCTCTTCTTTTGTCTTGCTCTGTGTTCGTGACAAACCTGTATTTTATTCTCTCTTCTTTTGTCTTGCTCTGTATTATGACAAACCTATTGATTCTGTCCAGCCTATTCTCTCTTCTTTTGTCTTGCTCTGTTTATGCCTTCCTGGATGATGCTGTCAGTTTATGACCTATTCTCCCTTCTTTTTTTTTCTTTGCTCTGTATTATGACAAACCTATATGATTCTGTCCAGCCCTCTGTTCTTTTTGTCTTGCTCTGTAGCCCTATTCTGTCTATTCTTCTTCTTTGTCTTGCTCTGTATTATGACAAAACCTTATGATTCTGTCCAGCCTATTCTCTCTTCTTTTCTTTGCTCTGTATTATGACAAACCTATATGATTCTGTTCAGCCTATTCTCTCTTCTTTTGTCTTGCTCTGTAGCCCAGCCTATTCTCTCTTCTTTTTGTCTTTGCTCTGTATTTTATGTTCAGCCCTATTTTCTGACAAACCTATATGATTCTGTCAGCCTTTCTCCTTCTTTTTTTCTTGCTCTGTCTTATGACAAACCTATATGATTCTGTCAATTCTCTCTTCTTTTGTCTTGCTCTGTATTATGACAAACCTATATGATGCTGTCAGCCTATTCTCTCTTCTTTTTGTCTTTGCTCTGTATTATGACAAACCTATATGATAATTCTCTCTTCTTTTGTCTTTTGCTCTGTATCCCTATATGATTCTGTCTATTCTCTCTTCTTTTGTCTTGCTCAACCTGTTTATGCTTGCCTATCTGTTGCTGTCTTTGCTCTGTGTGCAACTATTCTCTCTTCTTTTGTCTTGCTCTGTATTACTGACAAACCTATATGATTCTGTCCAGCCTATTCTCTCTTCTTTTGTCTTTCTGTCAAACCTATTTATGATTCTCTGTGTTATCTCTTTTGTCTTGCTCTGTGTGCACAAACCTATATGATTCTGTCCAGCCTATTCTCTCTTCTTTTGTCTTGCTCTGTATTATGACAAACCTATATGATGCTGTCCAGCCTATTCTCTCTTCTTTTGTCTTGCTCTGTGTGTGTTTATGACAAACCTATGATTCTGTCCAGCCTATTCTCTCTTCTTTTGTCTTGCTCTGTATTATGACAAACCTATATGATTCTGTTCAGCCTATTCTCTCTTCTTTTGTCTTGCTCTGTACTATGACAAACCTATATGATTCTGTCCAGCCTATTCTCTCTTCTTTTGTCTTGCTCTGTATTATGACAAACCTATATGATGCTGTCCAGCCTATTCTCTCTTCTTTTGTCTTGCTCTGTATTATGACAAACCTATATGATGCTGTCCAGCTTATTCTCTCTTCTTTGTCTTGCTCTGTATTATGACAAACCTATATGATGCTGTCCAGCCTATTCTCTCTTCTTTTGTTGCTTGTCTTGCAACAAACCTATGTATTATGAGCCAAACCTATATGATTCTGTCCAGCCTATTCTCTCTTCTTTTTGTCTTGCTCTGTATTATGACAAACCTAAATTCTGTTCAGCCTATTCTCCCTTCTTCTTGTCAGTTTTATTCTCTCTCTTCTTTTTTGTCTTGCTCTGTATATGATTCTGTCAGCCTATTCTCTTCTTTGTCTTGCCTGTATTATGACAAACCTATGATTCTGTCCAGCCTATTCTCTCTTCTTTTGTCTTGCTCTGTTATATTTATTCTGTCCAGCCTTTCTCTCTTCTTTTGTCTTGCTCTGTGTGCTGACAAACCTATATGATTCTGTCCAGCCTATTCTCTCTTCTTTTGTCTTGCTCTGTATTATGACAAACCTATATGATTCTGTCAGCCTATTCTCTCTTCGTTTGTCTTGCAAACCTCTATTCTCTCTTCTTTTGTCTTGCTCTGTATTATGACAAACCTATATGATTCTGTCCAGCCTATTCTCTCTTCTTTTGTCTTGCTCTGTATTATGACAAACCTATATGATTCTGTCTGTCCAAACCTATTCTCTTCTCTTTTTTGTTTGCTCTGTATTATGACAAACCTATATGATGCTGTCCAGCCTATTCTCTCTTCTTTTGTCTTGCTCTGTATTATGACAAACCTATATGATTCTGTCCAGCCTATTCTCTCTTCTTTGTCTTGCTCTGTATTACATGAAAAACCTATTGCTGTCCAGCTCTTCTTCTTTTGTCTTGCTCTGTATTATGACAAACCTATATGATTCTGTCCAGCCTATTCTCTCTTCTTTTGTCTTGCTCTGTATTATGACAAACCTATGATTCTGTTCATTTCTCTCTTCATTTGTCTTGCAGCCTATTTCTCTCTCCCCTTTTTTTGTCTTGCTCTTTTGTTCTGTTCATTATGACAAACCTATATGATTCTGTCCAGCCTATTCTCTCTTCTTTTTGTCTTGCTCTGTATTATGACAAACCTATATGATGCTGTCCAGCCTATTCTCTCTTCTTTTGTCTTGCTCTGTATTATGACAAAACCTATATGATTCTGTCCAGCCTATTCTCTCTTCTTTTGTCTTGCTCTGTATTATGACAAACCTATATTCTGATTTCTGTCCAGCCTATTCTCTCTCTTTTTTTGTCTTTGCTCTGTATTATGACAAACCTATATGATTCTGTCAAGCCTATTCTCTCTTCATTTTGTCTTTTCTGTATTATGACAAACCTATGATTCTGTCCAGCCTATTCTCTCTTCTTTTGTCTTGCTCTGTATTATGACAAACCTATATCTGTCCAGCCTATTCTCTCTTTCTTTTTGTCTTGCTCTGTATTATGACAAACCTATATGATTCTGTCCAGCCTATTCTCTCTTCTTTTGTCTTGCTCTGTATTATGACAAACCTATATGATTCTGTCCAGCCTATTCTCTCTTCTTTTTGTCTTGCTCTGTATTATGACAAACCTATATGATTCTGTCCAGCCTATTCTCTCTTCTTTTTGTCTTGCTCTGTATTATGACAAACCTATATGATTCTGTCCAGCCTATTCTCTCTTCTTTTCTTTGCTTGCTCTGTGTTATGACAAACCTATATGATTCTGTCCAGCCTATTCTCTCTTCTTTTTGTTTTGCTCTGTATTATGACAAACCTATATGATTCTGTCCAGAATATTCTCTCTTCTTTTGTCTTGCTCTGTATTATGACAAACCTATATGATTCTGTCCAGCCTATTCTCTCTTCTTTTGTTTGCCTCTCCTTCTTTGTCTTGCTTATTATGACAAACCTATTCTCCCTTCTTTGTTCTGTCCAGCCTATTTTCTCTTCTTTTGTCTTTTCCTCTGTGTATTAAGACAAACCTATATAATTCTGTCAGCCTATTCTCTCTTTCTTTTGTCTTGCTCTGTATTATGATGATTCTTTCCAATTCTCTCTTCTTTTGTCTTGCTTTCTGTATTATTCTGTCTGTCAGCCTATTCTCTCTTCTTTTGTCTCTTATTATGACAAACCTATATGATTCTGTTCATTATTCTCTCTTCTTTTGTCTTGCTCTGTATTATGACAAACCTATATAATTCTGTCCAGCCTATTCTCTCTTCTTTTTGTCTTGCTCTGTATTATGACAAACCTATGATGATTCTGTCCAATTCTCCTTCTTTTTTGTCTTGTCCTATATGATTCTGTCCAGCCTATTCTCTCTTCTTTTGTCTTGCTCTGTGTGCTATGACAAACCTATATGATTCTGTCCAGCCTATTCTCTCTTCTTTTGTCTTGCTCTGTGTGCAACAAACCTATATGATTCTGTTCAGTCCCTATTCTCTCTCTCTTTTTTGTCTTTGCTCTGTATTATGACAAACCTATATGATTCTGTCCAGCCTATTCTCTTCTTTTGTCTTGCTCTGTATTATGACAAACCTATATGATTCTGTCCAGCCTATTCTCCCTTCTTTTTGTCTTGCTTGTATTATGACAAACCTATATGATTCTGTTCAGCCTATTCTCTCTTCTTTTGTCTTGCTCTGTATTATGACAAACCTGTTCAGCCTATTCTCTCTTCTTTTGTCTTGCTCTGTATTGCCAACAAACCTATATGATTCTGTCCAGCCTATTCTCTCTTCTTTTGTCTTGCTCTGTATTATACAACCTATATGATTCTGTCCAGCCTGTTCTCTTCTTCTTTTGTCTTGCTCTGTATTATGACAAACCTATATGATTCTGTCCAGCCTATTCTCTCTTTCTTTTGTCTTGCTCTGTATTATGACAAACCTATATGTTCTGATTTCTGTCTTGCAGACAAACCTATTTCTGTCTCTCTCTTTTTTGTCTTGCTCTGTATTACACAAACCTATATGATTCTGTCCAGCCTATTCTCTCTTCTTTTGTCTTGCTCTGTGTGACAAACCTATATGCAAACCTATATAATTCTGTCCAGCCTATTCTCTCTTCTTTTGTCTTGCTCTGTATTACATATTGTCTGTCAGCCTATTCTCTCTTCTTTTGTCTTGCTCTGTACTGCAACAAACCTATATGATTCTGTCCAGCCTATTCTCTCTTCTTTTGTCTTGCTCTGTGTTATGACAAACCTATATGATTCTGTCTTTATTCTCTCTTCTTTTGTCTTGCTCTGTGTTATGACAAACCTATATGATTCTGTCCTTCCCTATTCTCTCTCTCTTTTGTCTTGCTCTGTATTATGACAAACCTATATGATTCTGTCCAGCCTATTCTCTCTTCTTTTTGTCTTGCTCTGTATTATGACAAACCTATATGATGCTGTCAGCCTATTCTCTCTTCTTCTTCTTGCTCTTTGTACTGTGGTCAGCCTATTCTCTCTTCTTTTGTCTTGTCTGTATTATGACAAACCTATATGATTCTGTCAGCCTATTCTCTCTTCTTTTGTCTTGCTCTGTATTAGCATGACCTAAATTGCTGTCCAGCCTATATGTATTATGACAAACCTATATATGTCTGTCAGCCTATTCTCTCTTCATTTGTCTTGCTCTGTATTATGACAAACCTATATGATGCTGTCCAGCCTATTCTCTCTTTTTTTGTCTTGCTCTGTATTATGACAAACCTATATGATGCTGTCCAGCCTATTCTCTCTTCTTTTGTCTTGCTCTGTATTATGACAAACCTATATGATGCTGTCCAGCCTATTCTCTCTTCTTTTGTCTTGCTCTGTATTATGACAAACCTATATGATTCTGTCCAGCCTATTCTCTCTTCTTTTGTCTTGCTCTGTATTATGACAAACCTATATGATTCTGTCCAGCCTATTCTCTCTTCTTTTGTCTTGCTCTGTATTATGACAAACCTATATGATTCTGTCCAGCCTATTCTCTCTTCTTTTGTCTTGCTCTGTATTATGACAAACCTACATAATTCTGTCCAGCCTATTTTCTTTTTTTGTCTTGCTCTGTATTATGACAAACCTATATGATGCTGTCCAGCCTATTCTATCTTCTTTTGTCTTGCTCTGTGTTCTGACTCCTATATGATTCTGTTTATTCTCTTCTTTTGTCTTGCTCTGTATTATGACAAACCTATATGATTCTGTCCAGCCTATTCTCTCTTCTTTTTGTCTTTGCTCTGTATTATGACAAACCTATATGATGCTGTCCAGCCTATTCTCTCTTCTTTTGTCTTGCTCTGTGTTATGACAAACCTATATGATTCTGTCAGCCTATTCTCTCTTCTTTTGTCTTGCTCTGTGTTATGACAAACCTATATGATTCTGTTCTATTCTCTCTTCTTTTGTCTTGCTCTGTATTATGACAAACCTATATGATTCTGTCCAGCCTATTCTCTCTTCTTTTGTCTTGCTCTGTATATATGATTCTGTCAGCCTATTCTCTCTTCTTTTGTCTTGCTCTGTATTATGATATATGATTCTGTCCAGCCTATTCTCTCTTTCTTTTGTCTTGCTCTGTGTTATGACAAACCTATGATTCTGTCCCTATTTATTCTCCCTTCTTTTGTCTTGCTCTGTATTATGAGCAAACCTATTCTGTTCAACCTATTCTTCTTTTTTGTCTTGCTCTGTATTATGACAAACCTATATGATTCTGTCCAGCCTATTCTCTCTTCTTTTGTCTTGCTCTGTGTTATGACAAACCTATATGATGCTGTCCAGCCTATTCTCTCTTCTTTTGTCTTGCTCTGTGTATGACAAACCTATATGATTCTGTCCAGCCTATTCTCTCTTCTTTTGTCTTGCTCTGTATTTTATGAAACCTATATGATTCTGTCCAGCCTATTCTCTCTTCTTTTGTCTTGCTCTGTATTATGACAAACCTATGATTCTGTCCAGCCTATTCTCTCTTCTTTTGTCTTGCTCTGTATTATGACAAACCTATATGATTCTGTCCAGCCTATTCTCTCTTCTTTTGTCTTGCTCTGTATTATGACAAACCTATATGATTCTGTCAGCCTATTCTCTCTTCTTTTGTCTTTGCTCTGTATTATGACAAACCTTTGATTCTGTCAGTATTCTCTCTTCTTTTGTCTTGCTCTGTATTATGACAAACCTATATGATTCTGTCCAGCCGATTCTCTCTTCTTTTGTCTTGCTCTGTATTATGACAAACCTATATGATTCTGTCCAGCCTATTCTCCCTTCTTTTGTCTTGCTCTGTATTATGACAAACCTATATGATTCTGTCCAGCCTATTCTCTCTTCTTTTGTCTTGCTCTGTATTATGACAAACCTACATGATTATGTCCAGCCTATTCTCCTCTTCTTTGTCTTGCTCTGTGTCTTGCTATGACAAACCTATATGATTCTGTCCAGCCTATTCTCTTCTTTTGTCTTGCTCTGTCCTATATGATTCTGTCCAGCCGATTCTCTCTTCTTTTGTCTTGCTGTATTGTGCCAAACCTATATGATTCTGTCCAGCCTATTCTCTCTTCTTTTGTCTTGCTCTGTATTATGACAAACCCTATATGATTCTGTTCAAGCTATTCTCTCTTCTTTTGTCTTGCTGTCCAGCAAACCTATTCTCTATTCTCTTCTTTTGTCTTGCTCTGTGTTAAGATTCAAACCTATATGACAAGCCTATGATGCTGTCCAGCCTATTCTCTCTTCTTTTTGTCTTGCTCTGTACTATGACAAACCTATATGATTCTGTTCAGCCTATTCTCCCTTCTTTTGTCTTGCTCTTATGTATGTCAGCCTATTCTCTCTTCTTTTGTCTTGCTCTGTTTATGACAAACCTATGATTCTGTCCAGCCTATTCTCTCTTCTTTTGTCTTGCTCTGTATTATGACAAACCTATATGATTCTGTCCAGCCTATTCTCTCTTCTTTTGTCTTGCTCTGTATTATGACAAACCTACATAATTCTGTCCAGCGTATTCTCTCTTCATTTGTCTTGCTCTGTATTATGACAAACCTGTAAACCTACATTTGTCTTGCTCTGTCAAACCTATATATTCTCTCTCTCTTCATTTGTCTTGCTCTGTATTATGACAAACCTATATGATTCTGTCTTGCTCTGTGTTATGCCCTATTCTCTCTTCTTTTTTTGTCTTGCTCTGTATTATGACAAACCTATATGATTCTGTTCAGCCTATTCTCTCTTCTTTTGTCTTGCTCTGTATTATGACAAACCTATATGATGCTGTCCAGCCTATTCTCTCTTTTTTGTCTTGCTGTATTATGACAAACCTATGATTCTGACAAACCTATATGATTCTGTCCAGCCTATTCTCTCTTCTTTTGTCTTGCTCTGTATTATGACAAACCTATATGATTCTGTTCAGCCTATTCTCCCTTCTTTTGTCTTGCTCTGTATTATGACAAACCTATATGATTCTGTCCAGCCTATTCTCTCTTCTTTTGTCTTGCTCTGTATTAAACCTATATGACAAACCTATTCTGCAACTTCTTGTCTTGATTCTGTCCAGCCTATTCTCTCTTCTTTTGTCTTGCTCTGTATTATGACAAACCTATATGATTCTGTTCAGCCTATTCTCCCTTCTTTTGTCTTGCTCTGTATTATGACAAACCTATATGATTCTGTTCAGCCTATTCTCCCTTCTTTTGTCTTGCTCTGTATTATGACAAACCTATATGATTCTGTTCAGCCTATTCTCTCTTCTTTTGTCTTGCTCTGTATTATGACAAACCTATATGATTCTGTCTTGCAGCCTATTCTCTCTTCTTTTTTTTTGTCTTGCTCTGTATTATGACAAACCTATATGATTCTGTCAGCCTATTCTCTCTTCTTTTGTCTTGCTCTGTATTATGACAAACCTATATGATTCTGTCTGTATTATGACAGCCTATTCTCTCTTCTTTTGTCTTGCTCTGTATTATGACAAACCTATATATGATTCTGTCCAGCCTATTCTCTCTTCTTTTGTCTTGCTCTGTATTATGACAAACCTATATGATTCTGTCAAGCCTATTCTCTTCTTTTGTCTTGCTCTGTGTTTATGACAAACCTATGATTCTGTCCAGCCTATTCTCTCTTCTTTTGTCTTGCTCTGTATTATGACAAACCTATATGATTCTGTCCAGCCTATTCTCTCTTCTTTTGTCTTGCTCTGTGTTAAACCCATATGATGCTGTTCAGCCTATTCTCCTTCTTTTGTCTTGCTCTGTATTACAAACCTATATGATTATGTCCAGCCTATTCTCTCTTCTTTTGTCTTGCTCTGTATTATGACAAACCTATATGATGCTGTCTATTCTCTCTTCTTTTGTCTTGCTCTGTGTGATTAACCTATATGATTCTGTTCAGCCTATTCTCTCTTCTTTTGTCTTGCTCTGTATTATGACAAACTATATGATTCTGTCCAGCCTATTCTCTCTTCTTTTTGTCTTGCTCTGTATTATGACAAACCTATTCTCCCTTCTTTTGTCTTGCTGCTGTCTGTCAGCCTATTCTCTCTTCTTTTGTCTTGCTCTGTATTATGACAAACCTATATGATTCTGTTCAGCCTGTCTTGCTCTGTATTATGACAAACCTATTTATTCTCTCTTCTTTTGTTTTGCTCTGTGCTATGACAAACCTATATGATTCTGTCCAGCCTATTCTCTCTTCTTTTGTCTTGCTCTGTATTATGACAAACCTATATGATTCTGTTCAGCCTATTCTCTCTTCTTTTGTCTTGCTCTGTATTATGACACACCTATATGATGCTGTCCAGCCTATTCTCTCTTTTTTTTCTTGCTCTGTATTATGACAAACCTATATGATTCTGTCCAGCCTATTCTCTCTTCTTTTGTCTTGCTCTGTATTATGACAAACCTATATGATGCTGTCCAGCCTATTCTCTCTTCTTTTGTCTTTGCAGCCTATTGATCTGTTCTTTTCTCTTCTTTTGTCTTGCTCTGTATTATGACAAACCTATATGATTCTGTCCAGCTATTCTCTCTTTTTGTCTTGCTCTGTATTATGACAAACCTATTGATGCTCTATTCTCTCTTCTTTTGTCTTGCTCTGTATTATGACAAACCTATATGATTCTGTTCAGCCTATTCTCCCTTCTTTTGTCTTGCTCTGTATTATGACAAACCTATATGATTCTGTCCAGCCTATTCTCTCTTCTTTTGTCTTGCTCTGTATTATGACAAACCTATATGATGCTGTCCAGCCTATTCTCTCTTCTTTTGTCTTGCTCTGTATTATGACAAACCTATATGATTCTGTCCAGCCTATTCTCTCTTCTTTTGTCTTGCTCTGTATTAT